AGAAGGGAAGGAATTTTTAGAAAGCCTGTTAAAAATAATTTGGTTTTGTTAACACCTGTTTAGCTCCAATCAATAATGAACATTCTGAAGAAAGGAAGTCCTAGCCAAAAAACTGTACACCCCTGCCACTTCAATTAAGGTGCAAGACAGCTCACAATACACCTGCTCTGAGACAACCAAGAAGTACTCCAGCAACAGTGGCAAGACCAATTTTAGTAATCCAGATACTTCTATTTTTTTTCCTTTTTAGAAAGAACTTTTCAGGCCTTCATAAAGCAGTAAAAATGGTATAAGCCACTTTTTAAAAAAATCCTCTGTAGGGAACCTTCGCATCTCTCTCTTGCATCCATGTGCGCAACTCAGATAGCGCCACTGTTTTTAAGATCCTGGAGATTATCCAGACAACACGGTAGTAGACTGCATAAACAGCAACTAAAAGATAGACTTCTACTTATTGATCAAGGATATTTTCCAAAGACTTTTTCACAAAGATCACATCATTTCTGATTCATATATTAGATTTGTGCCAGACCTATTATTCAAGTTTACTTATTAAAAAGGTAACTCAAATTCAACTACCTGTAAAACACTTTTTTTCTTAATTGTTCTAACAGGGAAAAAAAGAAAATCCATCAACGATACCTAGTGAGGTCAGCTATAGACTCATCAACTTACATCTGTGCAACCTGGCTGGGTGGTGGACCAGCACAATGGATACACAATCTCAAATCAAAACAAAGCTAAAGGGCCTAACCACACTTGTTGCTATCCCCATAAATTAAAAAAACCCACACCAAGCATCCTCTATTAGTGATCATACTTTTAACTACATGTCATACACAAATTTCAAACTAACATTTTTAAGGGCCTGTTGCCTAAGAAAATTCCCAGGTAACATGTTTTACTACTAATTTATATTACATTTATATCTACAGGCATCATCATCTAGACAACATACAATCACAGGAAAAGACAATCCCTGCTCCAAAGAGCTAACAATATAAATCGAAAGGATATACAAAGAAAAGAAGGAAAAACAGGTGCACAGATGCTAAGTAACTTGCCCAAGGTCACACAGCAGTTCAGTAACAGAGCTAGGGATAGTCCCAGGTCAGCAGCCTAGCCACTAAACCATAATGGCTCTGAACTTAGTTTTTAAAATAGCTATCAATTACTAAGGATGTTAACCCTTAAGCAGATGTTATAGTTTTCTCAAAATAAACCCAAGCCCAGAAAGAAAAGAAAAAAAAACACACACCACACGAGAATATGTTATGGTCACATTTTTAACAATGCTCCTCTATCCCTATATTGTGAGGTAACAATTATGAAGCGCAGAGAAGTTAAGTAAATTGGCCAAGGACACACTGAGTCAGTATGAGTTGGAAGAAAGCAACACATAATCTAGTCTTCAGACAACAAGATTGTTGCAGACAACCTAAGAAGAGATATTACTATTTTTCTGCCTCTTTCCTGCCCACTAGCAAAAAGACGAGTTTGTTGTCGCTGCTGTTCCTACGCATAAGCAGGTGCATCAATGAAAGCGATCTTCTTGAGGCTTATGTTACAGCTCCTCCACCCCAAGAGCATCAGCAATATGAAATTTAGCAGCTTACGTCGATCTAACTCGGAAAGCATCTACGCTAAAATGTTGCTCCTGCCAATGTAACTTTCCCACTATGCCAACTTAATAACTCCACCTCTGTGAGAGGTGTAGTGCTTAGGTCATCATAGTTAGGTCGATACAGAATCAGTACAGACACTGCATTGCTTACATCGAATGTTGCAGCCTTTCATAAGCCATTCCACTATGCCCCACACTGACCGTTAAATCAGTGCAAGCACTCCTGGTAAGGATGTGCACTGCCAGAACAAGGAGTGTAGGACTGTAGTGTGGACATGCAAAAACGATTTAATTACTGCAGTGGCTGTATGTCGACATAACTTAAGTGGACATAATTCTGTAGTGTAGACATACCCTTATGAAATCAGATCAATTTCAGTAAGCTGATGCAGTCTGTAGTAAAGAACAAAAGCAGCAAGAGATGATCCTGGGCATACTGCTAACCCTTCAAACCTGAAAATCTGTGACGACTGACCAAACTGTGGAATACCTGAGTTTTCTAGTGTGCTGCTCTTTAAATGATTAATAAAAAACAGTTTTACATTGTGTAAACTAACCATCTTTTAAACAGAAAACTGAAACTAGAAATATCATCATGTGCAACCATAAGGCTCTCCCCACATGGGCCATCAGCACCGTTTGAATACTAGACCTTCAGATTCCCACCACAAACCTCTATTGTTTGAGCTAAAGTAGTAACTCTCCCTCTATGTCAGCATTTCTCATCCAGTTTGTCGTGTCTCCTAGGGTAGTTACAAAGCGTTAGAAATTTTATTACAATCTATACCAAAGAAAATCTCATTTCCCCACTCCCACATATCCTTACCGTTCAAGTGTTCTCTTTCATCCTCTTGAAAAACAAAAATTAAATAGGCTTGTTAAAATTGATGCACTTACATTTTTTACTCTTATTTTATGTAAGAGGATTTTTTTTTATGTAAGAGGATTGTGAATGTTTTTGACTTCAAAAAAGTGGTGGCAATCTGAAAAGGTTGAGCGACTTTGCTCTATATGAGCTAAGCACCAGAAGGAGATGGGACATGCTATCAGTAGGTCACACACTATTTGCTAGATAGCAGCAGAATTTTGGAGATCATAAATCTCTGGTTCTGGGAGTGGAATAAAGGAACCATCATACTAGATCAGACCAGTGGTCCATCTATTCTAGTATTCTGTCACTAACAGTGGCCAGTACCAGATGCTTCAGATGAAGGTACAAAAAGAAAAAGACCAAGAAAACAACCTTGCAATAGATAGTTATTGAGATTAGATTATACATGAGCATTTATATCCCTCCCAAAACTCTTGCCTATACTCTTCATATTTACAATAACTAGTTATCCATATAGCTGTATAATTTTTTTTTTTTTAAATCCTCTTAAGCTCTTGCTCTCAACCATATCATGCAGTTAGATCTACAGGCTAATCGCACGTTGTGTGAAAAAGTATTTCCATCTATCAGTTTTAATTTTCCATCTCTCAGTGTCTCTCAGTACCCTATTGTTCTTATACTAAGAAAAAGAATAGACAAACATTCCTGATTTCGCATGAGAGATAGGAACATTGATCTGATAAACACATAATGAAAGACAGTGTGGATGAATTGGTAAGGCTTGTGTTCTAGCCCCAGCTCTGCCAGAAATGACTGCAAGTTAGCTATCTGTAAAATGGGAAAAATTATATTTTACAGACCTCTTGAGCAGCTTATAAGGCCTGGCTCAATAATAAAGGTTATGAAGCGAGCAGAAATATGGATACAAAAATTTGAACTCTGTGCCTGAAATGCATCGTCACTGGACTTTTTCCTAGGCTACAGAATATTTCAATGAGGAATCTTTCACTAGTGCAATCTAGCAGTTTTGAGCACCATCATCTCTATGAATTAAAAGTGAAGGAATAGGAGAAAAATCACAACTATTTACTGGGTGAGCTGCTTAGGCCTAAATAGGAGCATTTTCATATTTTTATTAAGTACTACAGATTGTGACCCCACAAGCTGTGATCCAGTGTAGAAGGTCCCTCCCTTTAGAAAAGTATTTTAAGATATAATCAATCCCCATATATCAAACCACCAAAAAAGACCAGTTATTAAAAATATGTATGTAACTCTGCTTCTGTACATAACACTTCACAAATATAAAAGACATGTTCATTGTCCCAATGAATTTACAATCTAAAGCAGAAAGACAAGACACCGGACAACAGTTCAAGAGATGGAGGATGAGCATTACTAAACATATACTGACTAGTTGACTAAAGATATAGGTCAAGTTTTTTTCACTTTTGTGGGGTGGGCGGGGGGGAGGGAAAAGATGTGTCTAGATTTGTAAACTAAATGGGCAGAATATCTCTCACCCACTAGTGGAATGCATCCTCACTGGGCTTAAACAGTCAATTGATGTTTAAAAAAAAAATGAACACTCACAACTGATAATATTAAGTGCAAAAGATCTTCTAAGTAAGTTTTTAGTGATCAAAGTTAACCTAATCAATAAGATATTTTCTATCAAAGAATGCCTGTTACCTCTGTAAGAAAACAAATACACAAGTGTCTGAGTTTGTTTCAGGTTATATCAATACATGACCCACTTTTTAAATTTTTTTCTATTGTAGAGCTTTCTATAGCATGTGGCACTAGAATAGCTAAATGCTTTAATGGCACTACTTAGACTTTGTAATATTTTGCATACAAGTTTTGGAGAAGGACCTTTTAATTTTATCACTGTATATTTGCAGAATGCAGGACGCCCCTCGTTTCAACTGGGGGAGATGGCGAAGAAAGAGAGGGATAATAAAAAACCTTAAAATATTACTCCAGGGGAGCTTTAAGTTAGAACTCCTCTCCTCCGCCCGCAACTCATACCCAGAACAAGGGCCCCTTTAGCAGATGGTCCATGAGTAGGCGTGAGGAAGCAGCTCCCGGTTGCCACAGGCCTGTCGTCTGAAGGGGCAGCGGTGTCCGGGACGGGGCCCAGGAGCCTAGCGCACACGCCTCAGCAGGCCCCAAGTGCTGCTGGCCTTGGGGCGAGAGAAGACAAAGCCAGCGAGAAGGACTGGGAGACCCTTCGCCCTGGGCTCCACCGAGCCGGGGCCACAGCGGCAAGGGGAGTGGCGGGGCCCGCGGTAGGCAGAGCCCGGGGGGTGGCTGCGCCGGGGGCCCTGCGCGGCTCCGGCAGGTGGACATGCCTTGCAGCCAGCGGGAGAGAAGGGAGGCTCAGCCGGCCGCCAAGGGCTGGGGAAGGGGGCTGAGCCGCGCACATGCTCGGAGCGAGCGGTGACCACTCGCCCGGCAGAAGCTGCCCATCCCCGGTGTTGGGTCCCCGAGCCCGCCATGAAGCCTTCGGCGAGGGCACATGCCAGAGCCGCCGCCTCCTACCTGCCGGACTGGACCCAGCCCAGAGCTTCCAGACTACAGGCCGCGTCTCATTGTGCTGCTCCCGCCGCCATTTCCCCGCCGCCGCCGCCTCACTCCCCCCAGCTGTCAGGTTCCTCCATTCACCTGGGCCCGGGACAGCCTCCTGCCCTCCCTTCCCCCTGCGAGGCTGGTCCTACGCAAATAGAGCACCGCCCGAGCTCTCCGCCCACAACAATAGGCCCGCCCAACGCAGGCAGCGTACTCGTGCTCTGAGAATTCCATCCCCCATAGCTCACACCCTCCACCTCTCCAGCCCATGAGAGCAGTGAGGCGATTGGACTAAAAATGGGGGTGAGAGGTCAAAGGTTGAGAGGAAGACCAATTAGGTGACAGGAGACAGCAAACGCTTAGGCCGACTGGAGTCTTCCGCGGACTCACGTGTGTTCCTTCTCACACAGTCAATTCCCTGCTGAACTCTGCGTGGCGCGAGATGGCATCACACGCAGATGCCCTCTCCCTGCACGGGGGGTTGGGGGGGGTAGAACGCGCAGATGCCTCCTCCATCTCCCTGCATAAGCGGTCGGGGTGCTTACCTCGCATAGCTGCCCCCTCCCACTAGGGTTGCCAAGCTTCCAGGATTGTCCTGGAGTCTTCAAGAATTGAAAGATTAATTTTTAATTAAAGATTAGAATCATAAAATATCAGGGTTAACAGGAACCTCAGGAGGTCATCTAGTCCTACCCACTGCTCAAAGCAGGGCCAGTCCGCAACTAAATCATCCCAGACAGGGCTTTTATTAAGCCTGACCTTAAAAACCTCAAGGAAGGAGATTCCACCGCCTCCTTAGGGAACGCATTCCAGTGCTTCACCACCCTCCTAGTGAAAAAGTTTTTCCTAATATCCAACCTAAAGCTCCCCCACTGCAACTTGAGACCATTACTCCTTGTTCTGTCATCTGGTACCACTGAGAACAGTCTAGATCCATCCTCTCTGGAACCCCCTTTTAGGTAGTTAAAAGCAGCTATCAAATCCCCCCTCATTCTTCTCTTCCGCAGACTAAATAATGCCAGTTCCCTCACCTTCTCCTCATAAGTCATGTGCTCCTGCCCCCCAATCATTTTTGTTGCCCTTCTCTGGACGCTTTTCAATTTTTCCACATCCTTCCTGTAGTGTTTCAGAGTAACAGCTGTGTTAGTCTGTATCCGCAAAAAGAAAAGGAGTACTTGTGGCATCTTAGAGACTAACCAATTTATCTGAGCATAGCTTGAATGTAGCTCACGAAAGCTTATGCTCAAATAAATTGGTTAGTCTCTAAGGTGCCACAAGTACTCCTTTTCTTCCTGTAGTGTGGGGCCCAAAACTGGACACAGTACTCCAGATGAGGCTTCGCCAATGCCGAATAGAGGGGAATGATCACATTCCCTCAATCTGCTGGCAATGCCCCTACTTATACAGCCCCAAATGCCATTAGCCTTCTTGGCAACAAGGGCACACTGTTGACTCATATCCCGCTTCTCGTCCACTGTAACCCCTAGGTCCTTTTCTGCAGAACTGCTGCCTAGCTGCTCGGGCCTTAGTCTGTAGCAGTGCATGGGATTCTTCCGTCCTAAGTGCAGGACTCTGCACTTGTCCTTGTTGAACCTCATCAGATTTCTTTTGGCCCAATCCTCTAATTTGTCTAGGTCCATCTGTATCCTATCCCTACCTTCCAGCATATTTACCACTCCTCCCAGTTTAGTGTCATCTGCAAACTTGCTCAGGGTGCAATCCATGCCATCCTCCAGATCGTTAATGAAGATATTGAATAAAACCAGCCCCAGGAGCAACCCTTAGGGTACTCCGGTAAGTCCTTTAAGTTACTTTCACCCCTGTATAATGGGGATGCAGAGAGCCACTGAACCAAACTGTAAATCCTGTATGTGGTGGAAACCACTTCAAGCCAGGGGGTGCTGCAGCACCCCCCACACCTCTGGTTCTAGCACTTCTGGTGGGGGAGGTCATCACACTGACACAATTGTGTCCTAGTGCAGGGGTAGTCGATTATTTTTTTTGTCAAGATCTAAATTTCTTGGTCAAAGTCCAGACTCCAGAGAAAATAATAAGAAAGTAAAAAGACTGAGTTCTGTTCAAAAGCATCTCCTGGCCCATAGGCCCCCTATTGATGACCCCTGTCCTAGCGATAGTCCCAGAAAAGATTTACCTGGGCTTGGTCAGCATTTGGATAACAGCAGCCCCTTCCTACGGCCTCCTGTAGTCTTGGTGAGCTGCATGAGTTGCTGCTGTGCAGCAGCATCCAATTGAAGAATCGCAACTTTGGGATGGTCCATTGTATGTGCAACACAGTTGGAGCCTGAAGAGTTGGCCTTCATCACAGCTGTACTCTCACCGCTGGGGGTGGTGAGTGCAGACAAACTGCATGTGTAATGCAGTGCATACATGGGGTCATGTGCTTTTCACCTGTACTGCCATTCCAATAGCAAGCATCATCCTTCAACAGACAGGGTGGAATACTGGAACCCAAAGATTCCATGGCAGTTGGTGGCCCAGTAAATGGAACTAGAGGTAGAAAGAATTTTGGAAGCCTGAGGTTCCATGCCATTACCCCCTTCCCTCCCATACACACACTGGGGCGGATAGGCAGGAAACAGGGTGGATTGTTGGAACCACGATATACTGTGTCAGTTGGGAACAGCTGATAGATCTCACCCCATTACAAGTCCTTCTTTCTGGTCCAATTTCCATCGTAGATGCTAGCAGCAAACTTTTCCTACAAGCCCGGTGTGAGGTATTTTACAGACTTGCCAGCACTTGCATGCACTAAATTTTGTATCTCAGGAACTTTACTAAAGTCAGAAATCTTACAGGTATCACTAACCTCAATCATTCTACTTCTGCCAGCTGATTTGTAAATTTGCACCTTCCCCACATCCTGAGCATTGCCAGAGTTCATTCTTACCTTAACCCTGGGTCCACTGAAATAATTATTCATTCCTTAATTCACTTCTCATCTACCGTAATTCACTTTCAGTGGCATAATGTGCATGCTGCTGTATATTGTGTCCTCTGAATATATCTTTGCAATGTAAAATTCAGGAGGTTCAACAAGCTATAGCCAAAAAATATTATTTTTCTCTCTGCAGGAATGGGGCAATATCAATTGTATTCATTATTAATATTATTAATTTGCATATCTTGGCAGTAACAGGATGTCCAGAAGGATATCATGTCACAAATTGGCAAGGTTTACATAAGTTTTGGTCATCAAAAATCTACAACTTAAAGGCCAAATCTTCAACTCAAATATTATTTCGAACTCACATGGATATGAAAGCTGGAAATCCACCAAAGGTACAGATGGATGTCTAAATGCCTTTGAAAGCAAATGCCTTAGAAAACTATTACATGGAATTAATTTGTGACAAATGCTGAGATTCTTCAAAGAGTTCAACAACCCCTTATCTCTAAAAGTTATCCAGAAAAGAAAATGAAAATATTTGAGATATGTAAAGAATGAATCCAGAGCAACTGCCACAGCTGGCATGCCTTTGGGCAGCTGGACAATAATGCAGAAGGCTCTGACCAAAAGAATCCCTCCTTTCAACATACTCAGAGAGGGAAAACATATGGGACTTAACAACACAAAGGACATGCAAAGAGCGGTCTAGGATAGACAGAAATGACTGAGTCTTGTTTGTGCCCGATGTGACATTCAACGACATGGGAAAGATTCAGAATAATTATAATAATTTGTACTGTTGTCACACTCAAAGGTCCCACTTAAGATGAAGGCCACAATCAGGATCAGGCCTATGGTGCTAGGCACTGTGCAAACACACTAGATGATATGTCCCTGCTTCAAAGTGCTTACAATTTGATTTAAGACCAGACACAGCAAGTGAGTGTGACAAACAGGAGGAGAAAGTTGGGGAGGGAAAGAAAGGGAAGGTTACTCACCCTGTGCAGTAACTGAGGTTCTTTGAGATGTGTGCCCCTATGGGTGCTCCACTGTAACTGTAACAACACAGGTATTCTTAAGTTAACAATACATAGAACTTGATGGGTTCAAATTAACAACATACTACAGTAGCATCTATAGGCCACAATCAGGATAGAGGCTTCATTGTGCTACGCACTATCCAAAGAAATAGGAAAAAACGGTTACCTACCTTTCGTAACTGTTGTTCTTCGAGATGTGTTGCTCATCTCAATTCCATTCTACGTGTGTGCACGCCTATGTGCAGAGTTGTCAGAGATTTTTGCCATAGCAGTATCCATTAGGCCAGCTGTGGCACCCTCTAGAGTGCCACGCTCATGCTGAGGTATATCAGGTGCTGACATCCCTATGCCCTTTCAGTTCCTTCTTGGCAACAACTCTGACAGAGGGGCAGGCGGGCGGGTAATGGAATGGACATGAGTAACACATCTCAAAGAACAACAGTTACGAAAGGTAGGTAACCATTTTTTTCTTCGAGTGCTTGCTCATGTCGATTTCATTCTAGGTGACTCACAAGCAGTATCTATGGAGGTGGAGTCAGAGTTCACTGCTTGGCGGCTTGCTGTACTGCTCTATCGAAGCCAGCATCGTCCCGAGCCTGCTGGGGAAGCGCATAGTGGGACGTGAAGGTATGGACCGATGACTAGGTGGCCACCCTACAGATGTGGAACTGGATAGGCACTTGGGCCAAAAAGGCTGCCAAAGGGGCCTGCACCCTGGTAGAGTGGGCGGTGACAATCGCTAGGGGCGGCACCTTTGCTTGATCATAGCAAAAGCGAATACAGGCAGTGATCCAGGAGGAAATCCTCTGAGTGGAAACAGGTTGACCTTTCATCCTGTTGGCCGCAGCAACGAATAATTGCATTGACTTGCAGAATGGCTTGGTCCTTTCAATGTAGAAGGCCAGAGCCCTCCTGACATCCAGGGCATGTAGTCTGTACTCCTCCTTCTCCGACTTTCGCAGCTTTGGAAAGACCAGTAAGTAAATGTCTTGGCTTGAATGAAACTGAGAGACCACCTTAGGAAGGAAGGCCAGGTATGGTCTGAGCTGGACCTTGTCCTTGTAGAAGACCATATAAGGTGAGCGCCCAGATCTCAGATACCCGGTGTGCCAACGTGACCGTGACCAGAAATGCGACCTTCTAGGAGAGGAGAAGGAGAGAGCAGGAATCCAAAGGCTTGAAGAGGGGGCCTGTGAGCCGTGAC